CATAGCATTAACATAGTCCTAGTAAGATATTGTCATAGAGCAGATGCGGAATTACTGTAGTATAGCATAATATTGCTTTAAGAAAAAATATACTACTGAACTATTTGACTATTGATAGAAAACTTCCCACACAGCACCAAGTCGCCTAAAAGTATTACTAAAACTGGAAAAAAAATTCTGAAATCCAACAAGGAAAAAAATTTGGAATGCTACAAAAAATCCACATTATTAAATATTTTTTTTTAAATTCAGTTAGTCAGAAATTAAACTAAATTAAATTGATAAAGTAATGTTAAGAAGAAAACGTGGTTTACTCGTACACAATCAGAGAGGTATGGCTCTCTGATCGTGTACATGAGAGCAGCGTCGTTTTTTTGGCGATACTACTCACGAAAGAAAAAAAATATACTTTAGATCTCATGTGTGTACCAGTCCTTTATATACATTTCATAAAAAATTGTATACGAGTTTAGTTAAGTCTGGTGTCGCCGCATTGCGGCAAGTAAAGAAACACGTGTCGTATATTGTGTTCTTTTAATGTTATCTTTTTTGATAAAGCGAAAAGATGTCTGAGCATCTGACGTGGCGCAAGTATGTACCGCATCAGAAGCCCAGTCAAGTTCCAATTTACGCCCGTTTAATTTTATAATAATATTAAGCCATTTATATATCGACCGTGACCATAGTTCCATAGTTCCGTACCATAGTTCCATAGTTCTGGTGTGGATCTTTTCAGTTTTTGAAAATAAGACTGTGACGTAACAAACTTCCATTGCGCTGACAAGTGTTATGGTGCCGACAAGGCAATTTCTGCCAGGATATTTTCACATTAAATTGTTCTTTCTGATTTACTGAGATAATTTATTTAATCTTACATATAATTATGTTAATATGTACGATCTTAAAATCTTTAGAAAGCAGTTTGAGCAAGCCAACATCTCTCAGAGCATTTGTACAATTCGACAGTCAATTCACAGAAAAAGTAAACGACATTTTTGTGACATTAAGGTAAAGAATCTAAACTCTCAGTTTGTATTCTTTTATTTTTCTCTCTTTTACTAAATTTAACGACATATATATATATATATATATATATATATATATATATATATATGAAAATGTTAATTCTGTTATAATTTTGCTAAATATAAAAAGACTGAAATGTTATTCTTTCAGATGGAACCAACCTAAAATTAGGGATGAAATAATACAAGGGTACACGGTGCAGTGTATTTTCATCGAGGATTTAAAAGAGATTCAAATCTGCGAGGACAAAAATATCACAACTACAGAATTGGAGCACACGGTTCACAATCTAACATTTAACATGATATATTATTTTCGAGTACGTGCGCATACTAAAATTGTTGCTGGATCTTACACGGATTTAATCAATGTATCGACTAAACATGAAAATCCAATACCTAAATTATTACTAACAACGAATCTAGGTATCCAAATATGGGACGTGGATTTAAATATTACTAATTTCTTAACAGAGTACGTATATTGATAAAAAAAAATAGTTATAATAAGTTATTTTTAACATTAACTATAAAGTTAAAGTTATTATTAATATGCAAATTTATTTTTATTAACATTATAGCAGTAATAACTATAAAATTAGAAATCTCAACTATAATTTTTTTACTATACAATTAAAGTTGACTCCTTTTTTCAGATCAAATCCAGAAGAAATCGCTTATTCGATACAAGAACATAGAATTTATTGGAGTATTGAAAACGTTCTATTGACACTGAAGATTAATGAAAATAATGTCACAAAGATAGTTACATTTGATTATATTCTATATAATCTCCAAATTGACTGGGTAGCAAGAAATCTATATTGGGTCACTGAAGTGTCATTTGAGGACATATATTACATTGTAAAGTTCGACTTAACAATGTGGGAAAATGGCATAATTAAATTTGATAAGATTTTAAAAATACCTAATGTCAATATAAAAATAAATGTATTACCGTCTATAGGGTACGTTTACTATTGTTCGTCTGAAAAAATAATTTTCCATTAAAGATTTAAGCAAATTTGTAATTTTTCTATAATTTTAAGAGGTTTTATCATTCAGATCAAAAGTAAAAAGAAATAATATTTTATTATATAATTACAAGGATTTCGAATTTTCACTACATACAAGTTTTGGTTTTTATTAAAATAATGTTTTATAATAAGTAAAATAATTATATATTTTTTAGAATTTTCTATTACAATCCTAAGACATTGGATATGAATGGATATTCTATGCAATATCTTGATTTGGTGCAATATGATCTTGATGGAAAAAATGAACAAATTGTTCACACAAAATTATACTCTTGCATATTTGATCTGTTAAAGGAATCTTTTCATTATTCACTTAGTTTTATTCAAATGAATAATGAGGAGCCGTTAGTTTTCTGGATAGTTAATAATCGCATAATTGTGTCAAATCTTAACTGTTCTATGTGCACTATGATTTTACACAACATAAACTTAAGTGATAACATCAATTTCCTATATACGACGTTTGACAAAACACACATGTACATTTCAGCATTTAAATATGATCTAAATTTTAAATATATCTACGTTTTGAAAAAGAAATATGCAAGTCTCAGCGTAATTACAAACGAATATGTTGAAAAGAAAGTGACAGGCACATATGAAAATAACTTTTTTGATATGTACGTTTTGGATAAATCTTTGCAACCAAGTCTCAAGAGCGTCTCAAATGCATACAAATATGTTAAAAAGATACTAACAAGCTCAGATAAAAATAGGTTTTACAAAATGTACGCTTTTGATAAATCTTCACAACCATATCCTCCAATAAGATGTCTGACACCTGACGAAAAAGTTTATAATTTTGAGAATGTGACTGCAACGGCAAACAGCATCATTGTAAATTTACCAGAGCCGGTTGTAAAGTGTGGATGCAAAAAATATAATTTACCAACTACTATATATACTATCTTTGTAAACCATTGTTTAGACAACAACCTCATCAAGTCTGAAGAATTCAATGTGCAGACGTTCGAGAGATATTACGAGATTCAAAAATTAACACCATTTGCAGAGTACAAGTTGAAGTTTACTTTAAGCAATTTTTACTTTGATCAATTATCAATAAATCCATTGCATTCGAACGTGAAACGAATAAAAACTAATTTGGGCAAACTTAATGTACCAGAAAACATAAGTGTTTTAGCTTTGACGCCTACTATAGCAGTAGTTTATTGGATGCCACCCAAGAAAATGAATTGCGTGGTTGTGACTTACGAAGTGCATTGGAAGTTAGTGAACAGCACGCAGCAAAAGAGCAAACAATTTATCAATGTGCCGAAACGTGTGGCAGACGGCAGATTTTTCACAAAGATTAACTTGTCGCTACCAGTACAAGATTACTTGATATACGTACGTGTATATCCAAGTAATTTCAGCAATTTCTACAACGAGAGTTTAAGCAAGATCAATCACATATACTCAGAACCAAACAATATTATTTTGAGCGAGGTCAACACAAATAGCATGGACATTTTATGGATCTCAAACGTTAATCTTATGGTCTTTCCTATACTAGAGTACAAAGAGATTGCAACAGAAAAGTGGCAAACAACGAATAATTTTAAAATGAATTATAACAAGGAAGTAATATATCATATCGAAAATTTACAATCGGGAACTTTATACCAGTTTCGCTTGATATTGAGATATCCTGAATATGACGAAACTTACATGGCCGGCTGATGAAAGATTTATTTTTTCAACACATGGTAAGCAAATGAAATTACCCATACAGCACAATAAGATTGTAGATGTATTGAAAAATAATTTCATTGAAACATTGCAAATTGATTGCGAAACTTTGCTGAGTCATTGTTATAAAATGTGATAAAGTTAGGATATCCGCTTTTTGCAATGAAATATTGTAGCAATATTACGGTTTAATATATTGAAAAGAATGCAATGTTATTACAATCATTTAATAATATTATGTATAAAATATTTTTGTTTTTGATGGATAAATATCTTGAAAACATATAATTAAATTAAAAAGCTTGATATAAATAGAAGTTTGCAATATATAAGATAATCATATCTAAGATAATATATTGCAAAATTATATTTAAACGTAATCATATAAAATATGTTTTTATACAAAATTACTTTAAACTTTTACTTACAAATCATTTCTTTTTATTTTAAATGTTCTATATACTCTTATAATAGGTACTTATATATATGTCTCTTTCTCTAATGGTTAATTAATGTTTATACATATATAAACATTAGTTATAGAATTAATTAAACATTACTAATTATATTTTTATTTAAAAATTTTAAAAATCCGTTATTTATTTGTATGAGAAAAGCATAAAAATACATTGAAAAATAAAATGATAGATATAAAAATATCTATTCTTAATATAATAAAAAGATATCGTATTTGTACATAAAATAAAAATATATCATAAAATATATTTTAACATTGATATAAAATGTTATTTATATTTTAATAAAAGAATAGAAATGCTTAACTTTAACTTAGAATTGTATTTACTCGACTGATATTATTTCTGTGTCATTAATTCGTTTGACTTCTGTAAAAAAGTAAAATTCATCGCATATATATAAATATAAAAGTATATATTATTACATTATTTTTATAGATAAATTAAAGAGTGTTGATAGTTTCTCAATGATTTCAAAATATGAATATTACATTGCTAATACCCAATTTATATTTTGTTAATTTATATTTCTACAATGTTTGTGTAATGTTGCATTGCAATTTGTGATATTGCAATATTGTTGCAAAGTAGTTGTAACATTCTGTGCTGCATAGATATTATAATATGATATACTAATATTTTTAGATGTGAATAGGCCTAAAATTAAAAAAAATTAAATTTTTGTAATAAAGTTACAAGTAAAAATAAATTTTTAAAAACAGACACACACGAAGATATTAAAATTATATTTTTGCTTAATACAGATATTTTGGATACTACTGGAATAATAGCGGAAAAATATTACTTATTATTGATGTTAGGTTTTATAGTTATTATAATCTGCCCCTGCTACTTTTATTGTTGTAAGTATTGTACATTTGATGTTGGTATCAACTTGAATTGTTAATTATACGTATATATCTGATATAATATCTAAAAATTTACTAAAAAACGAAAAATCTTATATTATTACATAATTAAGTCGAAATTTTATAGCAATATATCGTCAACGCAAAAGTAATAATGATTTGACTACAATGACCGATATAGAATTGGGGATTCCACATGAAGTACGTTGCGAATACACTCAATTGAATACGATTTACAGTCCTATGTTACATTATAATCCGGATGAATGTGCGATAACTAAAATTGCACGTAAACAGATTATATTTGGAAAAATTATTGGTAGCGGCGTATTCGGAATGGTAAAAATTTATGTTTTCAAGCAATGTTTCAAATTAATTTCTGAATCAACAAAACAGATATGTATTTTCTAATAAAGATACAAATTATATAAATTTTTATAATAGAGTATAAGTAATATAAAATTTGGATGAGACAACAAACATTCACTTTATTATATATTTTTCGTTAAATTATTTAATATAAAGTGAAATATAATACTACTTGACATTAAACTATACATTTTCTAATAAAGTACGCATGTAAATTTGTGTGAAATATTTTGCAGGTGTATCAAGGAAATGTGAAAAACTTAGAAAGTTCGGGCACAGAGATATCCGTTGCAATAAAAACGCTTCGGAAAGATGCTTCTTCCCATGAGAAAAAGAAATTGTTAAAGGAAGCCGAGCTTATGAATCGTTTTCGACACAAACATATATTAAGATTGTTGGGTGTTTGTTTAGATGGGATTTATCCGTTTCTAGTGTTGGAATTAATGGAAACTGGTGACCTGTCAAGATATTTGAGAGATTGTCGAAATTTGGAAGCGTCAGATTCGCACGCTCTACGTTTGCAAGATTTGTTCGCCATGTGCGAAGATGTTGCGCGAGGTTGTTGCTACTTGGAAGAATTGCGTTTCGTACATAGAGATCTAGCGTGTCGCAATTGTTTAGTATCTTCGAGAAATCGCGAGAATCGTATTGTCAAAATTGGAGATTTTGGATTAGCTAGAAATATCTACCATGATTATTATCGCATGGTAAATACAATTATTTAAAAAAATTAAAAAATGAATTCCTTTGAAAATACTTTCCATTTTTTTATCATAATAGTATCGTGAATTGTTTCTTCAAGTAATATGGAATATAAATAGTTTTTATTTATATATAGCAAGAGATAACGTTTTCCTTTTTGCACATATTGTAAAAATGAACAACTTGAACCAGAAAATTAAATGTTTTAATGTTTTAATTTGGTTAAAATCATGTTTTAGAGAGGAGAAGATTTGCTTCCTGTTCGCTGGATGGCACCCGAATCTTTGATGATCAGAATATTTACTTCTCAAAGCGATGTTTGGTCATTTGGCGTTTTAATGTGGGAAATTACATCGTTGGGTGAACAACCTTATGTTGACAAGACTAATGCGGAAGTGATAATTTATGTACTTGCTGGAGACAGGTTGCCGATGCCTCTTAACTGTCCGTCCGCATTGTACCAGTTAATGCTACGTTGCTGGACTGCAGCGGATGCTAGGCCAAATTTCGAATTTTTTCTGAAAAATATTATAACATTAAGAAAGAACATAGAAGATGCCTTACTGAGTCCAGTCGATATTCTTTAGCCGATATAATTAAATTAATGTTTATCTTCTTTTCCGAATGATTCGATAAATCTTAATGTAGGAAAAATATATAGATGTTGCAAAATATTGTAAATGTCTCTTCTTTTATATAAAGTACAAAGAATTTATATGTACCATTCTATTATAGCCCTTATTTATATATTTTTATTATAATTTCGATATCAGTATAATATTTTTAAGCTTAATGTGCTATATATAATTAAATTATAAAATTTAATATAATTACAAAATAGTATTATTATTAATAAATAGGTTGTATGCACACAGTCTTTTAGTCTCTAATCATTTCCAATCGCATTTCTATCCAATATATTTTCTCCTTCGAGTTCTTGGATTGTTATTATGGTTTATTGTATTCCTTTGTTTTTTCCTTTAACATCAGAAAAGATTATCATCACTTGTCATGTTTATTCCTTTCTGTGAAGTTCTTCGGAATATTTAAATCACTCACGTTTAAGATATATTCAAATCACTGTAATTGCCTTTTATCTGTTTTCTCGATTACTATCTCTTTTTCTTTTATTTTATTCAAAATATTAATGTAATTAATATAATACATTAATTAATTAACATATAATTTATTATGTGAAAATGTCCAAAATATACGTATAATACGAAATTTAGTAAACATTTTTATATAGTTTAGACAAGCCTGATAAGCGATGATTAATTACGCGACATTTATCATTAATAATCAATATGCAATAATAGAATATAATAAGTAGAATAATAGAATAATAGAATATAATAAGAGCCTAATTTTTTATCTATTTATTAATTTGTTAGAATATAATAAGTTTTATATAACATAAATAATCGTGATTAAAAGAGTTATTAATAAAATTATTGTTCATTTCTTCGATTGTAGAAGAAAGTATTTTCATTACTGGCGCCTTTTGTGTAGATTATCAAAGAAAATATTCAAAACGCGAAAAAATAAAATGAGCTTCGATGTAAATCAACAATTAAATTACAAAATAAATCGCGATTTAAAATTCGCGAGAAAACGCGACGAATAAATCGATAATATTCATATTGCGTATAATTTTTATAATATAATAATCGAAGCCATCAAATACGACAAATCGGTAATAAAAAGAGGAACGATTTTAAACCTGGAGAAAGATTAAGATCTTGTTTCTATATCAGATTTCGCAAGATCAATCTATGAAGAAAAATTAAGTGATCCATTGAACATCGGGAACTTTACTGTAGGAGTAAACGAAACCCGGATCTCCCGGACTATTCCCAATAGCAATGATTTCAATAATAAATCAACGACAATTATCCCTCGTCATTATTTTCAATTCACGAAATTGATATTCACGTCAGAAAACATGTTCTTTCATTATTAAGAAATATATTTCTTTATTAAAAATTAAGTGGATATAACAATTTTTTATAGAAATATGATTACGAAAGATTTATAAATAATATTATAAATAATAAAATACAAAATAATTTATTTTAATAAATTACTGTTATGTTAATTACTATTATGTAATCATTATACGTATATTTTCGTATAATTTTTCATGTGATTTACATAAGAATTAACAATCATAAATACAATTTCATATAATATAATTATAGTCATAACTGTATTGTATTTTACAATTAAAATATCAATGTTAGATTATAAAATACATTTATAACTATTTATAATTTACAATTTACAATTTACGATCCTATCAATATCAAATAATAATATTCCATTTATTCAAATATTTAATAAGAGATAATCGATATAATAATTTGATATTGATAGCATTAACATTTGGATTAAATATTATATTGTATTTGATTTAATGCACATATATTTTTAAGTTTTAAAATAAAATGCAACATGTTTCAAGATTTCTCAAACGTTAATAATTATGCAATTTCTTTAATATTTCTGAAGATAATTTTGATAATTTAAATTTCACTTTTAAACACTTTAAAACATTTTTATTTTTAAAACATGTTATATTTATTTTCACAACGTTTTTAAAAATAAATTTAACTTAATTAAAATAATTTTAATTTACTCCTAGAATTATTAGAATATTAAATATGAAAGAAAGAACGAATCTTTTTTAATAGCCCCCTAACAATCCTACTATTAAAGAATTCGAATAATTTTAATAGCCCAGCAATCTTACTATTACAAAATTCTAATGATCTTAAAAGCCCTAACATTTCTAACATTAATAGAAGGATTCTAATGAGTTTTCTTAATAGCCTTAACAATCCTATTTTCTGATTAACTAAAATTATTCGAGATTTTAAGAATCTATCTCTAATCATCATTTCACCTAATCATGTATATATATTTTAGTCGCGTGCTCAACAGCGGAGTTGTTATTATCGAAGCTAGTTGCCTGCAACACACAAATATAAAATTCATTTATAATAATGCTCACCAAATACAATTAATATTTCAAAAAATTTTATCGCGCGGGATTTGATATCCGATGTGTAAAATAATAAGCAGATAAACACGTATGGAAAAATTTTGTAAATTTTGTAAATATTTGAAACTGTTTTTTAAATAGAAAATTTTATGAGTTTTATAAATCTTTCTTTTTAATTCATTTAAATAATAAGATTGAATTATTGTTCGTTTATAATAAGTTAACGATTTATAACACTTAAGATACAAATAATAGATATTTACCTTCAGCCACTATGCGAATGATTGTAAGTCAATAACATTACCGCGATACTGTTTATATCGCAACGTCGACCAAGAAAGAAAAGAATTTGAAAATATATGAAACGTCTCACACCACTACTTTACTGCTCAAAGTTCCTGTGCGAATGATCACAAGTCAAAAACCACAATATTTATAACCATAATGTTTATATCGCTAAGATCGATTTATACTTATTGTTATAATTTCTTGTTGAAATATTCTGTGAGTGATTGCCGATTAAGAAAATTTAAAACATTGATCGAAATTTATTTAATTCCAATAATATCGTTATGTAAATTATTATAATAAGCATCAATAATCGAAAGATCATAACAAAATTAATTCTTTTATATATCCCTTGTTTCAATTTTAATTCATAGTATTTAATGACTGCGATTTGGTAAAGATATATCGTTGCAATACAGTTTTATGTCCTTTATCATAAGATAATTAAATTATAATTATTAATAGTTATATCAAATAGTGTTTCAATACTAATTTCAATCGTATTTAGAAAAAATATTCGACAATATGCGAAGCGTTTCGGACCATTACTTTATTGCTCGAGTATCACCGTGTGAATGATAACGAAGCCGTAACATATAATAAGTATGAAAATATTAAATTGTAGAATTGTAGTTTTCCAATTTATAGATTAATTGAATAATTAGTTATTATACATTTAATTAACATACGAAGCATTTTACATCATTATTTTATATATTTTCTTTAGAGAAAATAAAACTACACCACAAAATATCGCAAAATATTGCAATATAAACAAATCTAAATTATCCCTAAATGCAGAATAATAGTCTACGCCCCCAGATATCGCAAAATATCGCAAAATATCGCAATATAAATATATCTAAACTACCCCTAGATATTTAATATTACACTGCGCCCCCAAATATCGCAAAATATCGCAATATAAATAAACCTAAACTACCCTTAGATACAGAATAATATTCTATGCCTCAAGATATCACAAAATATTGTAAAATATTGCATTGTAATTAAATCTATACTACTCGTAGATAATTAATATTACACTGCGCCCATAAATATCGCAAAATATTGCAAAATATCGCAATATAAATAAACCTAAACTACCCCTAGATAGAGAATATTACTTTACGCCCTCAGATATTGGAAAATATTTAAACTTTACTGCTCGAATGTCATCAAGCAAATGATAGCAATATCATAATGTACAAACAATAGCACGCTATTGTTTACGTCGTTAAAATCGAACATAATATTATTGATAATTCGTTCCCGAAATATTTTATATACTATAAAATATACACGAGCGAAATATTAAATTATAGAAGTATTTTAATTTATTGATTAAAATTGATTATTTATTAAATATTTCATCACGGAGCTAATTATTTGAATTTATTCGATTATTTTATCGCGCTTTTTCGAATTCAAATTCTATAATATTTAATTTTGCATTTTTTCTGATTAATTTTTGAAAATTCAGAAGAAAAAGAAGAAATCTCCCAAAGCATTAACGTAAGTTGAATCGTTTAATAATTTCATTGTATTATATAGAAATAATATCAGATTTTACTCTAACCTCTACAGTATTTTGTCATGTGTAACTGTTTGTATTTTTTATTGTTTTTACAGGTAGTTTGTGTTGAAACTGTTATATTTTATCCATCCAATTAATTATCCAGATTTGAAATTCAGGTTAGAAATGCATTTCAGAAACTTTTACTAAAATGCTTATATGCCTTACAATATATGTGTGTTTGTTGATGTGTATATTTGTTAATGATTGTTTTTTTACAGAATGGATAAGGAAGAAAAGAAAAAACGTGCTGCCAAAACTACACGAAGACAATATGAACTGTATCACATACAATAGATAATATACAATAGATCACAGACAATATATAATAGATAAGATAATATACAATAGATAATATACAATAGATCACAGACAATATATAATTAATATTCGATTCATCCTTTTATTATAATTTTAAAAAATAATTTTTTTTATTTGTGTATGCGTGTGATATGTAATTTATATATATCACATTTCTTTAATTGTTGAAAAGAGAAAAAAGGTAATTGTACATTAATAATAACGTTTCTCATTAATAAAGTTATGAATTGGTTTTTATCTCAAATTCTGTTGCAAATTGTAAATTATTTTAAACAAGTTATTTTAAACAAGTTTGATTTTACAAAAAATAATTTTATATGTCTATAGTTGAACAATAATTTCAAAATTAATTACTTACAGCAGTATTAAATACAGCGGACTTACGCTATTTGAAATCAACTCCTTTTTTTTATTGAAGACCGATGTATTATTAATTCGCACAAATAAAATTTCGACTTGTCATGCGGGTGTACCATAGTAATGGCAAGATCTCAATATTATAGATTAAAATGTATCTTATAACGACATCATTTCATTTAACAACATCTCTCTGGCTGTTGTTAAGTTTACGACAATTTCGTCGCCATTTTATCATTAATTAACAACAGTTACTATTTACAGAATAAGAAAAGTCATTCGTTAATGACAATCGTTACATAACAACATCGTTAAGGCTTACAGAATAGGGGTCTTAGGCTGATGGCAGAGAACTAGACGTGAACGCTTACGTCTGTCGTAGTCATGGACGTAAAGTAAGACAGAGAAAAACCGTATGTCGTAAAGACCGTTGTGAATGCGGAAAGTGTATCGTGAATGAAGTAAGTAATATTAATATATAAATATACTGGAATACATATTACTGAATATTTGATATATAAGTAAATATACTAAAATAAATTAAAAATAATACAGACAATATAAAAACAAAGATAATGATTTATTGTCTTCATTTTATTTTACTAAATAGTCAAAATAGTAACTATTTTTAGGTTAACCTGTATTTTCCTTTATTTTTTCAAAGTATATTTCACATTGAGGAAAATATTTTAAAATTGTCACGGGCGTATTCCGCGCGAATCGCCGTCGGATAGTCGGAGTCGGAATCAGGATTTGTTTTGACGTAATAAGAGCGAGAGCCTGTATGTGCAACAAAAATGTTTATTCAAGCAGATGTATTACAGAATGTGTGTTCGTGTAGGTGTGTATAAATGTGTGTGTGTGTGTGTGGGTGTGTGTGTGTGTGTGTGTGTGTGTGTGTGTGCGCGTGAGCAATAAGCGTTAATTATATTAATTCGGTACGGAGCGCGTGTTTATGTTTGAGCGCGGTGAATCGGTGTGCGTGGCGCTTTTTCTAGCCGCGTTTTTACAAACGTGCGTATTTCTTCGCGTATTTCTTTGGCGGTCGTTTCTGCGAATTACGAGTTTAACTCGGCGTACGCGTCTTTCGCTGAATCGTAGGTGTAATTCCCGGTGTGGCAGGAACGTTTCCTGGAAGCGTTGTGCCGGCGAGAATCGCTCGCCCGAGGCAGCTCTCCTCTCTGCCCCGAGGTATGATGCACAACGTAAGGCGGTTGGATGTTGGACCGTTTTCTCCGAGATCTCTCGGATGAACCGGAGTGCGCTCAGGTTCGTTTGGCGGTCGGGAAAAGTGGCTGGATAGACTAGCCGTATAATGATCGAGAGCGTCTCGATAGAGGAAGAGTGCTCTCTACCTCTGGTTCTATATTCGGCGTTTGCTAGGAGCGGTTTAGGATCTCGAGTCGTCTCACTGGTGCGAGCGGAATCGAAAAAGGTGATTAGATTGCCGAGTATGCCCTTTTTATACCGGCTAATTACCCGCGCGTCGGCGCGCGGCGGATTTACCCCTTCCGAACGGGTTTCAGGTAAACGGTACGGTCGGGCCCGTTCGGAGGGATTCGGGTGTCGCGCCGAACGCGGGTTTTCGCCGGTCGACGGTTCGGGATTCCTCGGCAATCTCCGATTTTTCCGGCTCGGCAATTAACGGCCTAACGCCGTTTCGAGTTTTTTGAATTGTTCAAAAATGTGGGCGCACCGCGCCCCTGCCCTTGCCCGGCGGGTGTTCTGCCGGGCGGTAGCTTCCGGCGATCGCATGCCGGGAATAACGATGCGTCTTAGGGGGTGCACGGGGTGCATCGTTACATCACCCCCCCCTTAGAATTGTGCCTGAACTTGTGGCATCTGTTAAGCTCGGTGTTCGGAGCGGACGGTCGGACTGCTGGTCGGTCGGACAGGTGGATCCTCCTCGGGATGAACGGTTCTAGCTGATTTTCCGCTTGTAGCGGAGCTTCCCGTCCCCTGAAAAACGCAGGATCCATCGCCCTTGAGGTGTCCGGGGCTTGTAACGGCGGCTTACATGCACCGCGAAATGCGGTACCTCCACGATGAGGCCGGGCTCTATTTCCACCTTGATGAGTGGTGCGGTCATCGGCCCCATTGGACGCAGGATTTCCTCCCTCGGTAGCGTCTCGGCTGCCGGTTTTTGCAGCGGTGTTGGCGGCTTCTCGTACGGCCGGATTGGCCTACGCCCAGGTGGTGGCGGTGGTTGGGCCAAGAGCATTTGCCGCTTCTGCTCGTTGACCCGGTCGGACCTCTGTACGATTGTTCCGACCCTCGGCGGTCGCGGCGGTGGCGGCTGCTGGTGCGGCTCAGGTGGAGGAGCCGGTGGCGCGGACTGCGCTTCCCCCTCGATTGCCTCTCCGAGGTAGTCGCTTATCGCTTTCAATATGTCCTCGTTGCTCGACATGTCGACAAGAAGTGACTTGCGTTGCTCCCGTTATTCGCTCTCGTCCTCGCTCTCGTTACTGTTGTTGTTATTGTTGTCATCTTTGATCTCAGTGTCGTTTTTCGCTGATTTTAAATCTTGAACGTGTATATGCCGCAACCACTTTCCTCGCTTGCTCCGGAGATCCACGATTACCGGCGAGATTACCCGACGTATTTCGAATGGGCCGTCGTATTTCGGCGCCAGCTTTGCATTGAAGCTACACGCTTTATTCGAGAGATGATGACCTTTCCTCCATACCCAGTCTCCTACCTGCGGCCTCCAGGTTCTTCTTCTTAGGTCGTAGAAATGCTTTTGCTTTTCAAAGGCTCGTGCGAGGTTGATTTTTACCAGCTCGTTTGCTTCTTGTAGCTGTCTCTGGATTGTTTCTGGAGCGAGTGCTTGTTTGTCTGACGGGTTGTCGTCCACCGGTGAATTTAATTCGCGGCCGTAGTTCAGAAATGCTGGCGTGTACCTTGTGGCGTCGTGTACGGCCGTATTGTATGCGAATTGGATCGCTTTTAGTTTTTCGTCCCAGGTTTTCTGATCTTTTCCAATATATTGGCTGACCATCGTTTTTATGGATCGGTTGGTCCTTTCCACTGGATTGCAGTGCGGTGCGTATGCGGGTGTTGTTACGTGCTTCACGTTGCATTCTTTTAGTCTTTGTTCTAGTTGTTTTGACCGTAGCTGGGTGCCGTTATCTGATAAGATACTTTCTGGTTTTCCGTGTCTTAGAATTACATTATTTGTCACGGCCTGTGTCACAGCATCAGCTGTGGCTCGACGTAGAGGCACTAGTTCGGTCCATTTCGTGAATCGGTCTTGCATGACTAAAAGCCATGTATGCCCTTTTTTTGATCTAGGCATTGGACCGATAAGGTCGATGCAAACTTGCTGCCAGGGTCTCTTGACCTCTGTTGCGTGCAGTTTTCCCGCCGGCTTTTCCTGAGACGCCTTGTGGCTCTGGCAGTTCTTGCAATTTCGGACGTATTTTGTGATGTCGCGAAACATCCCTGGCCAGTAGTACCCTTCGGCAATTCTTGCTATGGTTTTCGCGATGCCCAGGTGTCCGGCTGTTGGTTCGTCATGGTATTTCCGGAGTACTTGTTGACGAATCGGTGTCGGGATGCACACCTTCCACTGGGCGTCGCTGCTTACATCCTTGAAGTTTAAGGAATGGAGGATGTGCCGATATAGTCTCCCATCCTTGATTTTGTAGTCTGGTCTGGCGGCTGGATCCTGACGTACCTCCCTCCGTATTCTGTCGTACCAACTGCATCTCCTATCTTGTTTTACGGCGCTGATTTCCGGGCAGCGTGATAGCGCATCTGCCACACGATTCTGAACCCCCCGGCGGTATTTAATATCGAATTCATATTGCTGTAATTCGAATACCCAGCGTCCGAGTCGTCCGGTCGGTGATTCTAACTTTTGCAGCCATTTCAAGGCCTGATGATCGGTTATTACGGTAAAGGCATAGCCTTCTAGATAGCTTTTCATCCGCCGGATTCCCCAGACGATCGCTAGGCATTCGAGTTCTGTTGCCGTGTAGTTTCGTTCCGCCGCGTTTAGTGTTCGGCTCGCATAGGTTATAACTCTTTCTCCGTCATCATGCTGCTGCGTCAGCACTGCGCCAAGACCGGAGGTGCTTGCGTCGGTTTGCAATACGAAACGTTTTTTAAAGTCCGGACAGGCTAATACTGGAGCGGAGACCAGCTTCTCTTTTAATGAGCGGAAGGCTTTTACCTGCTCTTTATCCCATGCCCAGCGCGCGTTCTTTTTCGTCAGTCGTGTTAGCGGCGCGGCTATTTCGGAGAAACCTGCGATAAACCGCCGGTACCAAGAAGCCATCCCGATAAACTGTCGGATCTGTTTGACTGTCCGCGGTTCTGGCCAGTTAGCCACTGCGCTAACCTTCTCGGGGTCTGTCCGGATCCCTTCCCTGTCGATGATGTGCCCCAAGTATCTCAACTTATCCACGCAGAATTTGCACTTGTCAGGGTTCAGCCGTAATTTAGCGCTTCGAAGGCGGCGGAAAGTCTCGGCGAGCAACTCGAGATGTTCGTGAAACGTTTTGCTAATTATGATAATGTCATCTAAATAGACGAACACGTGCGGTTCTAAGTCCGGCCCGAGGATTGTATCTAATAATCTTTGAAATGTAGCTGGTGCCGAATGTAATCCGAACGGCATAACTGTAAACTGATACAGTCCTTTCCCTGGGATTGTAAACGCGGTCAATGGTCGGCTTTCCCGTGCGAGCGGAACTTGCCAATATCCACTTTTTAGATCGAGCGTCGATAGGTAACGTGCTTCCCTTAATTTATCTAGAGTCGCGGTGATTTGTGGTAAGGGATATGCGTCCTTCCGAGTGATGTCGTTTAATCGCCGGAAATCAATGCAGAATCTATGTTTGCCATCCTTTTTCTTAACTATCACGATGGGCGAGCTCCATGGACTGTGTGATGGCTCAATTACGCCTTGTTCGAGCATTTCGTCCACCTCTTTATTAATAACTGCTTGCATGGCCGGATTGCGTGGTCGGTATCTTTGTTTGATGGGCGTATCATCCTCTAGATATATACGATGCTCCATTTTGCTGATTGGTCCGTGAATATTTTCGAATTGCTGTAATTCTTGTTTTAGAAACTCCTGCAGTTGCTTCTCTTCGTCTGGGGTCTGCATGGCCAGTCCTCCAATTGTACTGCATCTTGGAAGCCATTTTTTGATGTATTTTGGTGGTGGTGGAATTCCCAGACGAAGTCGGTATTGCAAGTCGATTCCTATGATTATTTTATCCTCCATATGTGGGAGGATAAAAAAGTTATGCGTAATTGTCCGGTTGCCCATTCGTAGTGGTAAGGTTATGTATCCGAACGTCTCTCCCGTGCTGCCGTTTGCCAGGTATACCGCCCCTCTTCTTCCCTTTATTTCGAATCCCTCTGTACTCATGACCTTGGCCGTGTCTTCGTTAATTAAAGAGATCTCCGATCCTCCATCTAACAAGGCGTTGTAACTTCGTCCTTGAATGTATATCTCTATGTGCGGTCGCGATGTGAAGGTTATACGGGGCCCGGGGTTGTATTCGCGGCCGCCTCTTCCCCGGCCCCGGAGGCTTTTCCCGCCCTCGGGTGACACTCCTTCGTCAGGACGCCATCCTTACCACATTGTGAGCAAAATTTCTTAGCCTGTCTCCGGCACTGCGCGCGCGTGTGCCCTCTTTGCTTGCACCGCCAGCAGCAATCTTTTTTATTATATACCGCTGATATTGACGGTACCGCGATGTCTTTTTCCCGTTTCGCTGCTTCTTTTTGCTCCTGAAGAATGTCCTCAAACTCCGCGGCTCGCGATTGTAGTTCCGCAATGCTCCGCACGTCATCGATTCTTACATAGTGCTTATATGCTGGGTTCATATTTTCATAGATCATATCGAGCTGCTCGTCTCGCGAGTACCCTCCGGCCCGACGCATCCGTGTCATCATTACCGTGACGTACTGTGCAAATTTTTCTGTTGACTGTTGATGTCGCCCCATAATCTCTCGACGTAGTGAGGCCGTGTAACGTCGCGGTAGGAATTGCCCCCGAAAATCCCGTTCAAAATCATCCCAAGTTTCCCAAGAACCTCGGTAATTCCTACACCATAATAGACTATCTCCCTTTAATAATTCCGGAAGCCCTTTCAATAGCTGTGTCGGTGAGAACCCGTATGCGTCTCTTAATTCCCCCACCCTTTCGAGGAATGCGACGGGGTCCCGGCCGTCGAAATGACACCCCCATTTCCGTATTTGATCAATGATTTTCCCATCGTATTGGAATGCCATATCTGTTGCAGTGGGTGTTCTAAATTCTAAATTCGTCGGCATCGGAACTGTTAAGCGGGGTATCGCCCCCTGTGCGCTTACTTCCCCCGAGTATGTCTCTAATGCGTCTATTTGTTCGGGATGTTCTTCCGCGAACCGGTTTATTCGTCTGCGGAGTTCCTCCAATGTACCCGCGTCTTCGACGTTCAGAGCTTTAGCCATTGCGATTAATTGATCTTTATTTAATCTGTACAACCACGCCTTCATTTTTCACGCTTGCACGCTCTCTACGTGTCGGTTTTTTTTTTTTTTTTTTGAACTGTTCGGGCGCCAATGTCACGGGCGTATTCCGCGCGAATCGCCGTCGGATAGTCGGAGTCGGAATCAGGATTCGTTTTGACGTAATAAGAGCGAGAGCCTGTATGTGCAACAAAAATGTTTATTCAAGCAGATGTATTACAGAATGTGTGTTCGTGTAGGTGTGTATAAATGTGTGTGTGTGTGTGTGGGTGTGTGTGTGTGTGTGTGTGTGTGTGTGTGTGTGCGCGTGAGCAATAAGCGTTAATTATATTAATTCGGTACGGAGCGCGTGTTTATGTTTGAGCGCGGTGAATCGGTGTGCGTGGCGCTTTTTCTAGCCGCGTTTTTACAAACGTGCGTATTTCTTCGCGTATTTCTTTGGCGGTCGTTTCTGCGAATTACGAGTTTAACTCGGCGTACGCGTCTTTCGCTGAATCGTAGGTGTAATTCCCGGTGTGGCAGGAACGTTTCCTGGAAGCGTTGTGCCGGCGAGAATCGCTCGCCCGAGGCAGCTCTCCTCTCTGCCCCGAGGTATGATGCACAACGTAAGGCGGTTGGATGTTGGACCGTTTTCTCCGAGATCTCTCGGATGAACCGGAGTGCGCTCAGGTTCGTTTGGCGGTCGGGAAAAGTGGCTGGATAGACTAGCCGTATAATGATCGAGAGCGTCTCGATAGAGGAAGAGTGCTCTCTACCTCTGGTTCTATATTCGGCGTTTGCTAGGAGCGGTTTAGGATCTCGAGTCGTCTCACTGGTGCGAGCGGAATCGAAAAAGGTGATTAGATTGCCGAGTATGCCCTTTTTATACCGGCTAATTACCCGCGCGTCGGCGCGCGGCGGATTTACCCCTTCCGAACGGGTTTCAGGTAAACGGTACGGTCGGGCCCGTTCGGAGGGATTCGGGTGTCGCGCCGAACGCGGGTTTTCGCCGGTCGACGGTTCGGGATTCCTCGGCAATCTCCGATTTTTCCGGCTCGGCAATTAACGGCCTAACGCCGTTTCGAGTTTTTTGAATTGTTCAAAAATGTGGGCGCACCGCGCCCCTGCCCTTGCCCGGCGGGTGTTCTGCCGGGCGGTAGCTTCCGGCGATCGCATGCCGGGAATAACGATGCGTCTTAGGGGGTGCACGGGGTGCATCGTTACAAAATCTAATAATATCTTTAAAAATATGATGTACATCATATTATGAATTAATTATGATTTATTTACTATCAATAAAATAAATAAATTATTAACAAATTTTATATATTATTTTTTTCAGTATACATTTATATATAACAGCACTTTTTAATGAAAATGAAAAAGGATGAATTTTTTTATTTTGGTGATGTACTGGATAAACTTGTGTTTTCTATTGATGAGACGTAAAAAAAGGTAAATCAGATGATTAAATAGGCGATGGCTTGTGAGTCCGATTAATGAAAAGAGACTTCAATATGGAGATAATAACAATTTATTTCAAGAAATAAAAAATGATTCTGAATTATTTTATCGCTATACCAGAATGACGTTGGTACATTTTCAGCAATTATTACATGATAAATCCATACTTGGTAAAAAAGAGTTCTCGTGCTTTAATTCCAGAGTTACGACTTTTAATAACTTTAAGGTATTTATTTAAGTACATATTTCATGCCTAAATGTCTAGATAGTTAATATAAATGTATTATAATTATATATATATTATATTTTTTTAGATATCTTGCGACAAGTGACCTACCATGTAGCATAGCTTTGGCATTTCGAATTGGGGAATCTACTGTAAGAGAAGTGGTAAAAGAAGTTTGTTTTGTCTTAATTAAAGTTTTAGTATTTATTGATACTTTCTCTCACACTACTAATACAATATACAAAACGTATAATTTGAACACAATCAATATGAATAAATTTCCATTTTTTTAATAATTATTTACGTGGATTTATTATTTAATGTGAAAATATCCTTATTAGCAATTTCTTGAAAAGAGCATTGCATTTACAACCATTTTGATGGAGTCTGTGAAATAAAATTATTGTAAAATTAATAGAAATTTATTATATGAACTATAAATGTATTACAAATATCTATTACATTAAACGTTACTTGTAACATCAAATGAAACAAATATGCATAAACAATATCACAAACTTCTTCTTATCAAACTATTTAATTATATATTATATTATATATATATTATATATATTATATATATTATATATATTATATATATTATATATATTATATATATATTATATATATTAAATTATATATATATGTATATATATTATATAATACCAAAAATAATATACAAAATATTTTTATATGATCTTTTACAAACTAGAAATTACTTTGGTATGTTAAATTTTATCTAATTTAATTCCTCTGAGATCAAACAAACTTATCACAGAAAAAAAGAAAAGAATCTATGTCTATATTATAATATAAAATAAAAATATGATTTCTTTTAACAAAAGAAACTATTACTTTTCTGATAATGGTATAATCAGGGCATTCATAATCATTTTTCTTCTTATATTTTTTTCCTGTTCTGGAATATTGTTAAATTGCACTTTTATAAATTTCATGAAAGCATCATCAGCTGTTGAAACCTTCGTTTCCATATAATTTGAAATTCTATGACTCATTTGCACTAATGTTTGTTCTAATTCCTTTGTTTCATTAACTTTTCGTTTTTCTATTTTTGATGGCTCATTTTCTTTCTTAAAATTTTTAATATTATAAGTGCTTATATACATTTTCATTTTCTTCATTGCTTGATTCATTTGTAGCACTTTGTGATTCACAAATACTATTTTCATCAACTATACTTAAATGAGATTTTACACAATTAGTGTAGCTTCTGGAAATAAAATATATGTCATGTGCAAATATATTTAAAGAATTAATCCAATAAATTATTTTACCTTCGTCTTTTAATGACGTGATCTAGGAATACTAATTGTGAAAAAAAAGGAAATCGAGTAGCTTTAGCCACAGCACTTCCACTTTTACATTCCATTTCAGCTTTCCTTTTTTCTCTGTTGTATTGGTCTCTTAAGGAGATGCATCTTTTTTAACAATATGAAGGAGTGTACATGTCACCTAAACAGAAAGTATAAGATTAAAAAAATTTATGTGTGTGTGTGGTGTGTGTGGTGTGTGTGTGTGTGTGTGTGTGTGTGTGTGTGTGTGTGTGTGTGTGTGTGTGTGTGTGTGTGTGTGTGTGTGTGTGTGTGACTATGTATTAACATTATTTTGTAATTATATGATTTATTATATAAATTTTCAAATTTATTTTTCACCATTAGTTTTAGTCATTATTTTGGATATTTCATCCCAAGCATTTTGCTTCATCAAACTATCCTTAAAATTGGTATTACTTTTATTATATAAAAATGGACGTTCTCTATATAATTCAATGAGAAACTCATCGCACTCTTTTCGTCAATATCAATAGATGCAGATTCACAACCATTATCCCAGTCATCTGTACTGATTTTATCAGGCAAATCAGCAATAGTATTGCAGTAATTTAAATGATCAGACATTTTTTTATATTACTCTTAATAGCGGTTGTGAAAAAGGTAAATTTTCTGTTGAAGAAACAAATTAAAAATTAGATACAAATTTTAAAAAATAGAAAGAAAATTTGTTAAGAAAATTAATTAAGAAAATTTGTTAAGAAAATTTTTTCCATCAATGTATTTTGAAATAGCAAAAAAAATATTAATTAACCTAAAATAACAATTTCTATTTTGACAATTACTTTTTCGATAAACGAAATGAAGACAAATCACTTTAAATAAAGTTATTTTTATTTTATTCCTTTTTAGTATATTTACTTACATATAAAATATTCAGAAATATATATTTCAGTATATTTATATATTAATATTACTTACCTCGTTCACGATACACTTTCCGCATTCACAATGGTCTTTACGATATACGGTTTGTCTCTGTCTTACTTCCACGACTACGACAGACGTAAGCGCTCACGTCTAGTTCTCTGCCATCAGCCTATGTTCTTTAATCCTTGTCCTTAACAAGCGACCTGTTTGTCCTACGTAAGAGGCGTCGCAATCCGTGCAATTAATTTTATACACTATATTGCTACGCAAATCCTTCTGTAAACCGTCCTTACCAACTTTAATAAATCTGTGCAAATTGTTTATTCCGGTGTAAGAAAGCCTAACATCAAGATCTCTGACGCAGTATCGGAAGCGTTCTGATATGTTCCTCATATATGGAACATTAAAATATGCAATCTTACTTCCATCTCTCTCATCATCAATCACACTCTCATCATCATTCAAAACGTTATCATGTTTGTTATTAAATCTATGAAATAGGATATTAAGCCGATCGGCAATTGTGTGGAAGAAAAGAGAGAACGGATATCCATTGTTCAGAAGAATGTTAACAATAAATTCGAGATTTTCTTTGTGAAATTTAGGATGAGAAAGCCAGAAAACTTTATCTATTAAACCAATAATCGTGCCCTTCTTCTGCCATCAGTCATAGAAGGAATCTTACGTCCGTCATTGCCGAACATAGAGCGTTTAATCACACTTTTGATTTCGATGATGTTGAGTTTTGGACGAGGAAATGTTTTTAGGAAAAAGACTAATATCTGAAATGATTTATATTAAGCGCCAAAAGAATGCGTTGAACCTCCAAAGCGATACTTTAAAATTGAATACTTCGTGTCTGTCGATAATTGAAAACATGCCTAAGATTTAACGGGTTGTTTTCTATTTGACTGGCTTTGTCCTCTTTGTATATAGTTTGTTATTGCCGACCACATTATGACATCATTACCGTTGCCATTTGAATTATAGGCCTATTCGACTGTTAGCGTGTTGATTATTCGTGTCGTTTCTGCTGGTCTGTCTCTTGTCCGAGTGAATGGCTTTTGACTAACGTTAATGAATTTCTATTTTTAAGTCTTGTGACTAGATTTTGTATCTTATATTTATTTTGTTAGTGCATCGCTTTTCGAGCTTTGTGCCGCTGAGAGGGCTTCTTGTATCGGGCTTTCTCGGATGGATCAGCTCTGACGAAGTCGCGTCGCTCCTACAGACCATGCATGCATGTGACTATGCTTTCTTCTCTCTCTTGTATTTTACTGATATTGCGTTTTTACTGTATTCTTATTTGATATATTTTTTTTCTTTGTTTTTATCAGAATTACTGAAGAAGGCTCGAATTGAGTCCGAAACGTATAGAATAAAGCGAAAGGATCGTTAAAATTAAAATTGAATTGCTGTCTTGGAAATTATTTTATCTACGCCCTACAATTGTGTTGGCTCTTTACTGCCTTTCACTACTCACTTTGATTTGTTAATTTAGAGGACCTTTAACACTGTTTATTTTATTTTAATATATAATTATATATACATTTTTTTAATTATATGATAAAGTAGAAGGAAATAAATGACGCGCGCAAAGCGCGCGCAATGTTGTGTACTAGTATATCCAAAAAATACATAATATAGTAAATTTCTGGATTAAATAGTTTTCTTTATAAATTTTCCTAAATTGAGATTTATTTTTGGATTTCACGCAATAAATTACATAAATTATACTAAGATATAATAAAATATGTTGATAATGTATATATATATTGATATATATATATATATATATATATATATATATATTTGATATAGATATATATATATATATATATTTAATATATATATATATATATATATATATATATATTTGATATAGATATATATATATATATATATATTTAATATATATATATATATATATATATATATATATATATATATTTATATAGCTACTTTCTAATTTTAATATTTTGAAACTTGAGTATTCATTTTTATGTTAATTATAGATCCTATTGATCATGAGTATTTTAGCTTTGTTTTTAAATTTCTTTAAAAATAATGATTTTGGCATTAAATTAATTTGTTTATTCAATGCCATGTTCTGGTAATTCCGACTACTTGATTCCATGAAACGGAAAGTTCCAACAGTTTCAACGAGTTCTATGTCGAACATCTAAGTTGAATTTTTTGCAGTTAAGACTTGTAAAAAGATTAATTTACCGTATAATTTTTAAAAACTATCCTTTGGTTTAGTGGAATAAAACTACCCCTAGTGGAAAATCCGACCTCTCTTTTAGGAGTGAAATCTAATATTTTAAAAACGGAGTATCATAAAAATATAAAATCTATGCTGTTAGATAAGACTTGTAAAAAGACTAATTTACAGTATAATAACAATTTTTAAAAACCATCTCTTGGAGATGAAATCTAATGTTTTCAGAAATGATATACCACAGAATATAAAACATGTGTCGTTAGATAGAACTTATAGAAAGACTAATTTACTGTACAGTAACAATTTTCAAAAATAAAAAAATATCCTTAAAAATAATTTGCAAAAAGGATATAAAATTTTATAAAATTTTAGAAAGATGTGATATCTCTCTAAAAAGACCTACAAAGGTAAAGGAAATACACCAAGTATATAATATTCTATCTGGAATGTTAAATAAAAAAATTCCTTCAAAATAATTTATAGTAATTTTCCCTCAAAATCATTTTTCTAAAGAATAAAACCTCAACAATTAATTTTTATAAAAAAATATTGAAAAATAAAATATCAAAACTAAATAGAAAGTCAATAATTACTACTAGCCAAGTACTTAAGAGATTTGTAAATTTGATATAATATTTGTCATGAAATATCAATTTTATTGTAGAAATATTATACATAAATTCTTCCTAAGAAATTAATTTGACTTTTAAAATATTTAAAATCAATAATAAATGAAAATTAGGATTTTTTTAATTCTTAAAACATTTTTTATATAATGTATATAATTTAAAAAAAAAATATTTTGCGCAAGTTTTAAATCGAAGTAAGTTATGAAAACTTGACGTGCCCGGATCGTTTACATTATAAAAAAATATATTCCCACTAAAATGTAAAATCTTAGACATTATGTAATTAAATTTTTAATCTGTGTTTGATTACGCGATGCCGTTCCCTTGCCTCGTCTGCCAAATGTTAATACTTTGAAAAAACGTACGCGAGTTCTTTAAGAAAAATGATTTTTGAGGAAAAATTACTGTAAATTATTTTTAAGGAATTTTTATTATTAAACTTGCATACAAGGAAGAATAGAATATTTTTTTATATACTTGGCATATTTTTTTTTACTTTTGTAAGGTTTTTTGAGAGTAAAAATGATAAGCAAGGAAAAAGGAAAAAAATAAATTTTAAAGATCAGATAGACTTACAATTTTGCAATAAAAGATGTTAGTGATGATTGAGTTGCGACTCTCAGTGAATTCCTGGTCTTTAGCATCGAGGATGAGATGCTTATGGAGCTTGTTCGATGACCGAAAGTGTGTGTCCATATCACGCAAACTGAGGATAGACTGTTAAAGACTAACTGATCTGTCTTATTGAACTGATTGATGTGAAGTGACTGACTGAAGTGACTGACTAAAGTAACCGGCTGAAGTAACTGACTGAAGTAATTAACTGAAGTGATTGATATTTCTTAAGAGCTTCTCTTTTTATACTCGATTCGATTTACTTTTCCGATATGTATCTTACCCATCGATTAGATTTTAGATTCACAATATTTGTTCAGGTGTCTAAGGTTTCGAATTTTTGTAAGATTTCTATCTAGCTATTGTTGATTAGGTTTGTCGGTTTAAGTCGGCTAAATTCGTCATCAATTTATTATTTTCCTGTCTGATAAGTTTCGAAATGTTACTATTTCTATTTACAGAGGGAGATCTATGTTGTTCTATTATCAATATATTTCTTTATTTTCCTGTCTATGTTTTTCTTTATCTTCAGATAATTATTTGTTAAAGGGATCGGTGTTGCTTCATTGTTAGCATTTCTTGCGTGTTTTTTCATGATTATTCATAGATATTAGATAACAAATATAGATTATTATGAGCTACAAGAGGTTCTTTATTAATGATTTTGCTTATCATTAATCGAACGATCGTTGTCGCAACTTCGTGAAAGGAAGAAATCGTGGAGTAACTCGACTGGACGTAACAAGATTATGCAAGAACTTATTCAAGACTATTTGAAATAATTCTTGTAATTATTATGGAACCAAAAATTCAGACTGATTCAGATGGATTCTGTGGCTGATCAAATGGGCATATAGATACGTCCGACCTCCTCCCACATCTTTCCTGGAGCTTTATCTGTAAAAATGATCTATTTCTTATTGAATTTCTTATTTTTAAACATCAAGTTACGAAATTGAATTGATTTGTTTTTCAATGGCTTTTGTTAGTAATTGATGTGTAAGAATTTTATAAGGATGCAATTTGATGACGTTTTTTATAATCTTTAGGAGAATTTTTCACTTTAATTTCAACACTTGAGCAGCTTTACAAATCGAGGAATTTGGATTTTATTTGAAATATTTTCTGACGTCATCAATTGTTTTGTTTATTGTAACGGTACAAAATTGATTGGATAAATCATATCTCGATCATTTAAAGTGCCATACATTCGAAAATTATCAATAATCGAAAAATATTGAAAAACGAATAAAATCTCAGATATTAGCAGCATGTGTAGGATAGATTAAATTATGATACGATTTCAGGGAGAAAACATCCTCTGAATACAGTTTCACTTGAAAAACTTTTTAGATTCATATTTACTACATAACTCACGTCTCAGTACAGATTTTGCCTTTACTGTAGAAGCACTCGATAAGAAACACTCTTTCTTCAATGCTTATTCATTGTGACACTCGTAAATTGGTTTCTGCAACGGTCAAATTGGTAAAACCTTAGCAAATTTAGTAAAATCTTTAATAAAAAAATCCTTTATTAATTAATTTATTAATTAGATATTTTACAATAAGAACTGATACTCTATTAGCAAATCCTATCATTTCATTTTGTCGTTTATTACTATATATAAATAATAAGGCACAAATTTTTCTAATCGGTAAATATACCGTCTTTATAATTATTGAATCCTGAAATCGGTTATAAACCGCGAAATCACATTCTAAAAATCGAAGTTTGATATAAAATAATAATACACACTGAGAAATGTATGTGATAATGCTGCATAGTATTTTAAATGACTCTGTAAATGTGTGCTAAGATAATCTTAACTGATCACCTCAAGCAATATTTATTAAAACAGAGAAGCACAATATTTCGCCAAGAAAAATATAAAGCATTAAATAATACAATAAATTTAAACAATAAAATTTAATGTAGGATATACAATTAAATAACACTAAATATCTTTTTTTCGAATTGTAATCTATGTAAAAAAAGATCAGAAGGAAACGTAAAACAAATATTTGCTCAAAGTGTTATTGCATGTATAAGTCCGACATTTCTAACAAGTAAAAATAAGTTTATATTTATAATTGAGGAAAATTTTTATAAATTATTTATTATAAAGGTATTTTTTTATTAAACATTTTATTGCATACAAGGTGGAATATTTTTTATGTACTTGGCGTATTTTTTTTACCTTTGTAAGGTTTTTTTTGGAAGTAATATTAATTACTTTATTATTTTAATTCTACTATTGTAATTCTATGTACGACAGTCTTTATTATACAGCAGTGTACATTAGTGCATTTAATTAAATTCCATCTTTCTCCTGCTATATATCAAATACTTTATTTCCAAAAAAATGTTATAAACACTTTATTTACGTGAAATATAATTGAAAATAATTCTGTGTAGCTTTGTTCTCCTTTGGTGACTTATTTAGTCCATTCATATATTAAATGATATACATTGTTATTTTAAAAATTTTTATATTATTAAAGAGATTCTGTATAAGAACATTTTTAATAATTTAAACATTAATATAACAGTCTCTTTCTAAATTTGTGCATAATAATAGATGTATTTTAAAACATTTTATAAATTTATAAAAACTTTTTCACCAACAAAGATATATATGTACAAGAATTTTTTCGAAATAATAGACCGTACTTGTGTGTAAATATTATACATCATTAGCTTTATTAGATAGTGGAGATAGAACAATAAATGTAGTTCATTTTTACAACTGCATACTTTTGTAATCATCAATATAATTTGAATATATAGTAAGTCATTAAATATAAAGATAAAATATATGTATATGCTTATCCCGAATGATGCAAAAATTTATACATGATAACTGTTATAAATTTAAAAATTCAAAAATAATTATATTATTATATTTAACATAAATTATCTTAATATCGCTAATCAATTAATCAAAGGATCGTTGAAAATAATATAATCGGCCAAAACTAGCTAGAAATTTTTTGTTTATTATATTATATATTCACAACCAATTATAAAGGATTTTATTCGCGTTTCCTCTTTCGCTCATAAATTTTACAATTAGTTTGTAATTATCGGTCATACATGATATCAAAAATTAATTATATTTCCATGTTGAAAAAAATATTGTTTATACACACACACACACATATATATATATATATATATATATATATATATATATATATATATGTATATATATATATATATAATCGCAATCATTAGGTTTCGCACCGATTACTCAAAAACACAAATTAAATGTCATTATATTACGTTGTACAATCATGAAAACAGATGTGATATTTTTTCTTAATCAAGATTTTATGGAAAGTAAGATTAAAACATTTCTTTTATTTTCATTGATAAATCTAATATTAAAATTAAACTTGAAAATAACAGAAATTCAAAGATATTCTAGAAATATTTTTTTCTACATTAAGATCGAATCGTTAAAGATCGAATCGTTAAGATCGAATCGGAAAAGAAGAGAAACATTAATTTAATTATATCGGCTAAATATCGACCGGATTCAGTAAGGCATCTTCTATGTTCTCTTTTAATTCTATAATATTGTTCAGACAACTTTCGAAATTTGGTCTAACATCCGCTGCTCCACTCCAGCAACGTTCCATCAACTGATACAATGGTGACGGACAGTTAGGAGTTATCGGCAACCTTCCTCCATGATGTACATAATTTTTCACTTCTTCAATGGTCTTGGCAACATAAGGTTTCTCACCCAACGATGTAATTTCCCACATTAATACCCCAAATGACCAAACATCGCTTTGAGAAGTAAATCTATTCATCCTCAAAGATTCGGGTGCCATCCAGCGAATAGGAAGGTGACGTTCTCCTTCCTAAAACATGATTTCAACAAAAATTTAATTTTCTGGTTTAAGTTGTTCATTTTCACAATATGTGCAAAATGAAAAATGTTTATTTATTTCTTGCTATATATAAATAAAAACTATTTATATTCTATATTACTTCAAAAAACAACGCACGATACTATTATGATAAAATGGAAAATATTTTCAAACGAATTCATTTTTTAATTTTTTTTAATAATTGTATTTACCATGATATAATAATCATCCTTATAGATATTTCTAGCTAGTCCAAAATCTCCAATTTTGATGACACGATTCTCGCGATTTCTCGAAGATACTAAACAATTGCGACACGCTAGATCTCTATGTACGAAACGCAACTCTTCCAAGTAACAACAACCTCGTGCAACATCTTCACACATGACGAACAAATCTTGTAAACGCAGAACATGCGAATCTGACGCTTTCAATTTTCGACAATTTCTCAAATATTTTAACAGATCACCAGTTTCCATTAATTCCAACACTAGAAACGGAGAAATCCCATCTAAACAAACGCCCAACAATCTTAATATATGTTCGTGTCGAAAATGATACATAAGCTCGGCTTCCTCTAACAATTTCTTTCCCTCATGGGAACCAGCATCTTTTGGAAGCGTTTTTATTGCAACAGATATATCTGTGCCCGATCCTTCTAAGTTCTTCACCTTTCCTTGATATACCTACACAAAATATTTCACACAAATTTACATGCTTTCTTCATTAGAAAATGTATAGTGTAAAGTCAAATAATATTATATTTTACTTTATATTAAATAATTCAACGAAAAGTATATAATAAAGTGCATGTTTGTTGTCTCATCTAAATTTTATATTACTTATAATCTATTATAAAAATTTATGTAATTTATATCTTTATTAGAAAATAAACATATCTATTTTGTTGATCCAGAAATTAATTTGAAACATTGCTTGAAAAAATTAATTCTTACCATTCCGAATGCGCCGCTACCAATAAATTTTGTAAATATAATTTGTTTACGTGCGATCTTAGTTATTTTCGTACATTCCGGATTATAACTTAACGTAGGACTGCAAGGCCTTTCGAATTGAGTGTGTTGGCAATGTGCTTCATTTAGAATATTCAATTCTATACCGCTTGTTGTTGAAGACAATTGTACATTATTATTTCCGCGTTGACGATACACTGTTATAAAGTTTCGACTTAATTATGCAATAATATGTATTATAAAATTTTTCATTTTTTAGTAAATTTATTAGTTTTATATAAATTAAACTTTTATATAAATAAATTACTATTTTTAGTAAATTTATAGGTATTATAATATATCAGATATACATGTATATATAAATTTTATATATATATATAATTTATATATACATGTATATCTGATATATTATAATATCTAGAGATTTACTAAAAATAGTAATTTATTTATATAAAAGTTTAATTTATATAAAACAAATAAATTTACTTATACTATCAGACTATTATATATATACAGGATCCCATTTTAACATTTACACTCGAATATCTCGAAACTATGGCAGTTTCGGTGAAAATATTTTAAGCAAAAGTTATATGATTTTAAGAGAGTCATAAAATGGTATCATTGGGTTTACTTTGAAAAGTCGTTTGAAGGTCACGTGAAAGTCATCTTCAATTTTTTATATGAAATCACTTATTTTTTTATTACATATTCTTGCAGCTCATCTCAAAAACTTTCCAAAACACTATAATTAAGTTAGTTTCTATTAAGTACTTTTTAAGTATAATACTTTCTTTTAAGTTAAAACATAGTCGTTTTTAAGAAAAATTATGTAATTGGCAATTAACAATTCCATATTTTTTCTTGAAAACAACTGTATGTTTTCTTTACACCAATTGATTACTCTTATTATTTTGTACATAAAAGTATTAAAATAAGATAATCGAAAAATGAATATTTTACTAGATATTTTATGGTTTATGTAAAATTAAGAAATGATTTCAAGCCTCAGCCAACTCGGAAAGCACTCAATGGAAAAATACTTTATTATAGTGTTTTGGAAAGCTCTCGAGACAAGATACAAGAATATGTAAATGCATGTAGGGTGTCCTATTTAAAAAGTTGGAGGTGACCTTCAGGTGACTCTTCAAGGTCAAACTAATGGCACCGTCTTATGTGCCCCCTAAAACCATACCACTTTTGTCTGAAACATTTTTTCTACAATCAAAATTAAAAAAGTTATTCAGGGTGATCGATTAAAATGAAACACTCTATATAAATGTCTACAATTCAAGCCAATACGTATATCAAATATACTTACATCTATAAAGGCAGACGCAGATTATAGTAACTATACCACTAATAATACTTAAAGTCAATGTTAGGGGATCTATCTCTGGTGATCCTGTTCAAAATATTATCTATATTACGTAAAAATATAATTTTAATATCTTCATGTGTGTGTGTCTTTAAAAATTTAATTCTACTTATAACTTTATTATAAATATTTAATTTTTTAAATTTTAGACCTATTCATATCTAAAAATATCATCACATAATATTATAATATCTCATTCAGCATAGAGTGTTACAACTACTTTGCAACAATATTAATTTTTCGATTATCTTATCTTAATACTTTTATATACAAAATAATGAGAAGAATCAATTGGTGTAAAGAAAACATACAGTTGTTTTTAAGAAAAAATATGGAATTGTTAATTGCAAATTACATATTTTTTCTTAGAAACAACTATGTGTTTTCTTTACACCAAATGATTCCTCTCATTATTTTGTACATAAAAGTATTAAGGTAACATAATCGAAAAATGAATATTTTATGAATATTTTACAAGATATTTTATGGTTTATGTAAAATTAAGAAATTATTTCAAGCCTCATAACTCGAAAAATATTTCATGGAAAAATAATTTATTATAGTGTTTTGGAAAGCTCTCGAGGTAAGCTACAAGAATATGTAATGAAAAATAGAGGATTCCATTTAAAAAAATACACTTCCAGTCTGAATCTTCTATTTCCGGCCAGAACCAGAAGTTGAAAATATCAACATTCGATAGAGCGCACCCGATTTATAAAGAAAACGTTTTTACTTTTTTGAAATAATCACTTCTCTAGTCTTTAAATGGGTGGTACGGATGGTCTGAAACATCCTGTATGCGATAAATTTTACTTTTTTGCAAAAGAATTAATGATACTGAAATAATATCAGTCGAGTAAATATAATTCTAAACTAAAGATCAGCATTGCTATTTTTTCATTAAAATATAGATAATATTTTATATCATGGTTACAATATATTTTATAATATATTTTCACTTCATGCACGAATACGATATTAATCTTCAAAAATAACATATCTTCTTAGTATATTAAGAATAGATACTATTATATCTATTATTATATTTTTCTATGCATTTTTACGTATCTTTTACATGCAAATATATATAATTATAACAGATTTTTAAAATTTTTAAATAAAAATATAATTAGCAATGTTTAATTAAATCTATAACTAATATTTAAATGTGTACAAAGTACCCATAATATATAATATTATAAGAGTATACAGAACATTTAAAATAAAAAATGTGATTGGTAAGTAAGAGTTTAAAGTAATTTGGTATAAAAATATAATATGCTATGTTATATGATTATGTTTATATATAATTTTGCAATGTATTATTTTAGATATGACTATCTTAGATATTGGAAATTTCTATTTGTATCGAGCTTTTTAATTTAATTATAAATTTTTAAGATATTTATCCATCAAAAACAAAAATATTTTATACGTAATATTATTAGATGGATTATAATAACATTACATTCTTTCAAATATATTACACTACAATGTTGGTACAATATTTCATTGCAAAAAGCGGACATCTTAACTTCATTTCAATCTTACACAATGACTCAGCAAAGTTTCGCAATTGATTTGCAATATTGCATTGTTTCAATTAAATTATTCTTTGATACGTCTGCAACCTTATTGTGCTGTATGGGTATCTTCGTTTGCTTACCAAGTGTTGAAAAAATAAATCCTTCATTAGCCGGCCATATAAAAGTTTCCTCATATTCGAGGTATTTCAATATCAAGCGAAACTGGTATAAAGTTCCCGATTGTAAATTTTTGATATGGTATATTACTTTTTTGTTATAATTCGTTCTAATATCATTCGTTGTTTGCCACTTTTCTGTTGAAACGTCTTTATACTCTAGTGCAGAAAAGATCGTCAGATTGATGTTTGAGATCCATGAAATGTCCATGCTATTTGTGTTAACCTCGCTCAAAGTAATATTGTTTGATTCTGAGTACATGTGATTGATCTTGCTTAAACTCTCGTTGTAGAAATCGCTGAAATTAATTGGATACACACGCACGTATATCAAGTAATCTTGTACTGGTAGCGACAAGTTAATCTTTGTGAAAAATCTGCCGTCTGCCATACGTTTCGGCACATTGATAAATTGTTTATTCTCTTGTTGCGTGTCGTTCACTAACATCCAATGCACTTCGTAGGTCACAACCATGAAGTTCAATTTTTGGGGTGGCATCCAATGAACTACTGCTATAGTAGGCGTCAAAGCTAGAACACTTATGTCTTCTGGTGCATTAAGTTTACCCAAAGTTTTTATTGGTATCACATTCGAATCGAATGGATTTATTGATAATTGATCAAAGTAAAAATTGCTTAAAGTAAACTTCAACTTGTACTCTGTAAATGGTGCTAAGTTCTGAATCTTGTAATTTCGCTCGCCTGTCAGCACAGTGAATTTTTCAGACTTGTTAAGATTGTTGTTTAAACAGCTTACGGAGATAGTATATATAGTAGTTGGTAAATTATATTTTTTGCATCCATTCTTTACAACTGGCTCTGGAAGATATACAATGATGCTGTCTGTCGTTGCAGTCACATTCTCAAAATTATAAACTTTTTCGTCAGGTGTCAGGCATCTCATTGGAGGATATGGTTGTGAAGATTTATCAAAAGCATAAATTTTTTTATAAAACACATTTTTATCTGAGCTTATTGGTATCTTTTTAACATATTTTGCTGTTGAGAAGCTCTTGAGACTTGCATATTTCTTTTTCACAACGTAGAGTGTATATTCAGACTGAGAATAATAATATGCTGAATTATCATGTGCTAAAATGTAAATGTTTGTTTTGTCAATCGTCATAGATTGGAATTTGATGTCATCACTGTCTCTCCGTAAAATTATATTGAATATAGTAAGATCAATGTCTGATATAATTATAAGCCAATCACTTAACCAGTAAATTAATGGCTCTTCATTATTCATGTTATCAATTATCATATTATTATCATCCATATAATGAGATAAGCGATAAGTGGAATTTATCTCAACAATTTGCTCGTTTTTTCTATCGAGATGATATTTTATAATATCATATTTTTCATTTATCCAATTGTATGATATGCGATATAAAATTCTAAAAAATATATAATTATTTTACTCATCATAAAACATTATTTTAATAAAAACAGAAACTTGTATGTAATAGAAAATTCGAAATTCTTATAATTATATAATAACTTATTATTTTTTTTTACTTATGATCTTAATTATAAAACCACTTAAAATTATAGAAAAATTACAAATTTGCATAAATCTTTAATAGAAAATTATTTTTTGAAAATAATGATGAAATTTAATAAACGTACCCCATAGACGGTGATACATTTAAATAGTGAATATAAGTTCCTGATTTTAAAATCTTATCAAATTTAATTATGCCATTTTCCCACATTGTTAAGTCGAACTTTACAATGAAAGAATAGTCTGACTCTTCATAGATAAAATATAGATTTCTTGCTACCCAGTCAATGCAAAGATCATGTAGATAATGATCAAAGCTAGTTATTTTTGTGATATTATTTTCAGTAATCTTCAATGTCATTAGATGATTTTTGAATATCCAATAAATTTTATGTTCTTGGGCCCAGTAAGCGACACTTTGTATGGGCAATTGTTTAACGAGATTATTAACAGTATCTGAATCTAAGTCCAATATGTCGATTCCAGCATATGTTAATAATAATAATTTAGGTATTGGATTTTCATGTGTAGTCGACACATTGATTATATCCGTGTAAGGACCAGCAACAATTTTAGTATGTGCACGTACTCGGAAATAATATGTCGTATTAGATTTAAGATTGTGCACCGTGTGCTCCAATGTTGTAGTTGTGATATTTTTATCGTCGCAGATTTGAATCTCTTTTAAGTCATCGATAAAAAAACAATGCACTGTGTACCCTTGTATTATTTCATCGGTAAATTTAGGTTGATCCCATCTGTAAAAAAAATAAAATTTTAGCCTTTTTATAATTAACAAAATTATAACAGGATTAACATTTTGATATAGATATGTAGTTGAATTTAAGAAAAAGGAAAAAAAATAAAAGAATACAAACTGAGAATTTAGATTCCTTACCTCAATGTCATAAAAATGTCGTTTACTTTTTCTGTGAATTGACTATCAAATTGTACAAATGCTCTGAGAGATGTTGGCTTGTTTAAACTGCTTTCTAAAGATTTTAAGATCGTATATATTAACATAATTATATGTAAAATTAAATGGATTATCTCAGTAAATCAAAAAGAAATATTTAATGTGAAAATACCCTGGCAGAAATTGCCTTGCCGGCGCCATAACTTGTCAACGCAATGGAAGTTTGTTACGTCACAGCCTTATTTTCAAAAACTGAAAAGATTTACACCAGAACTATGGTCGCGGCCGATATATAAATGGCGTAATATTATTATAAACAAAAAGTGATAAAGCTCTCTGTAAATTCAAAAATAAAAGGTCAATTAGGCGTAGAGAGCTAGAGATCAAAATAATGGTGTAGGTTAATTAGTCAAAATATATATTCATAATTTAAAATACAATATCAAAATCAAAATCGATGTAATACATATAAAAAAATTATAAGAAAGTTAAAGTTGAGTGCGGACGTTTCGATTTACTTTTAAGTCATCTTCAGCGCAAATATTGAAAAGAAGTTAGAGCATCTATAAAACGGTTCGCAAAGGTAGAAAACGGAAATTAAAAGTAGAAAAAATATATAAACAAACGTTAATCAGAAAGAAGATCAACTCCGAATGCCAACGGTTGTGCATAGTAAATCGTAGACAGCTTACAAATCTTAGAGGAGATGCAACTCTAGACGCAACGGTTGTTCATGGTTTGTTTTGAATGGCTTCCAAATATTTTCAATGAGTGAAACAACTCTCATTTGGGTTAATTGGCCCAAAGTTGAGTATGGTTCATCAGAGAATCTGTAAGACCGTGTGAAAATAAAAATAAAAATAAATAAACAATAGGAAAATTATTTAGCAATGTAAGTATTTATAGAGAGTCAAAAAACTATTAAAAAATAATAATTAGTTTAAAAAGAAAACAAAAAAACTAGCTGGGAAATAAATAAATAAAGAATAAGAAACACGCAAGTCAAAAGTATAAAACAATGTTAGTCATTAGCATAAAAATCGAAGAAAACGAAAAAATATATATGCGGTTCAATAATATTACATGATTAAAGTAAGAAAATAATAATAAAAAATAAAAAATAATTTTTATATAATAAACCATGAACGGAATTTAACAATTTATCAGGACATAAAAATCAATAAGATAAGAAAGATAAAAAATTGATAGAGCCTTTATGTTGTCGCATCATCGAAAGAACATTATGCTCATTATTGAGATCCTACTTAACAATGGTTACCCACTAAAATTTATATTCGACACGATCAACCATAGAATTCACTTTCTGACACGTACATCTACATTTGACTCCATGATCAAAAAAGAAGCTTCTTCTTATTTCACGGTTCCATTTCTACCTTCATTAACGGATAATTTAAGATACATCCTGAAAGACACGAATACAACGTTGTCATATTACAGCCTTAATAAACTTAACATGATTATTAAGGCTCATAAAGACGTAATCCCGAAAGATTCGAACAAGAATGTTGTTTACAAAATTGAATGCGGGAATTGCGACGCATCCTATGTCGGACAGACAAGCAGAAGGTTAATCACAAGAATAAACGAACATAGGAAACATATGAATAGAGTTACAACTAATAAGTCTGTTATTATCGAACATAGGTTAAATTTTGATCATGAATTCAGATGGGACGAGGTCAAGATACTAGATAAAGAATCCTTTTATAATAAAAGGCTAATTTCCGAAATGATATGCATTAAAAGACAACAAAACGGTTTAAATTTACAAACGGACACAGATTGTTTTCTTGATATTTACAACGATTTAATAAATAAACTTCCGAATATCTAAGGGTCATACACAGAAATCTACACGACCATATGTACGTTATTTTTCGTCATTTATATTCCTACCTTCGTATAAGAAAGTGTTACAGAGGTTTTTATAAGGAAATGTTAACATACTTGTTCACCTGATGATTCTTTTAACGTTTAATCATATTCAACTTTGTTCCGTATAGCAATGTAAGTTATTTTTATCTTTTTTATCTTATTGATTTTTATGTCCTGATAAATTGTTAAATTCCGCTCATGGTTTATTATATAAAAATTATTTTTTATTTTTTATTATCATTTTCTTACTTTAATCATCTAATATATTATTGAACCGCATATATATTTTTTCGTTTTCTTCGATTTTTATGCTAATGACTAACATTGTTTTATACTTTTGACTTGCGTGTTTCTTATTCTGTATTTATTTATTTCCCAGCTAGTTTTTTTGTTTTCTTTTTAAACCAATTATTATTTTTTAATAGTTTTTTGACTCTCTATAAATACTTACATTGTTAAATAATTTTCCTATTGTTTATTTACTTTTATTTTTATTTTCACACTGTCTTATAGATTCTCTGAACCATACTCAACTTTGAGCCAATTAACCCAAATGAGAGTTGTTTCACTCATTGAAAATATTTGGAAGCCGTTCAAAACAAACCATGAACAACCGTTGCGTCTGGAGTTGCATCTCCTCTAAGATTTGTAAGCTGTCTACGATTTACTATGCACAACCGTTGGCATTTGGAGTTGATCTTCTTTCTGATTAATGTTTGTCTATATATTTTTTCTACTTTTAATTTCCGTTTTCTACCTCTGCGAACCGTTTTATAGATGCTCTAACTTCTTTTCAATATTTGCGCTGAAGATGACTTAAAAGTAAGTTGAAACGTCCGCAACTTTAATTTTCTTATAATTTTGTTATATATATTACATCGATTTTGATTTTGATATTGTATTTTAAATTATGAATATATATTTTGACTAATTAACCTACACCATTATTTTGATCTCTAGCTCTCTACGCCTAATTGACCACTTTTTTTTCTTTTTTTTTTTTTATTATAAAGTTAAATGGGGGCAGATTGGAATTTGACTGGGCTTCTGATACGGTCCATACTTGCGCCACGTCAGATGCTCAAACATCTTTTCGCTTTATCAAAAAAGATAACATTAAAAGAACACAATATACGACACGTGTTTCTTTACTTGCCGCAATGCGGCGACAATTTGACTAAACTCGTATTCAATTTTGTATGAAGTGTATATAAAGGACTGGTACACACATAAGATCTAAAGTATATTTTTTTTTTTTTGTGAGTAGTATCGCCAAAAAAAGGTGCTCTCACGTACACGATCAGAGAGCCATGGCTCTCTGATTGTGTGCGAGTAAACCACGTTTTCTTCTTAACATCACTTTATCAATTTAATTTAGTTTAATTTCTGACAAACTAAATTAAAAAAAAAATATTTAATAATGTGGATTTTTTGTGAAAGTCTAAATTTTTTTCCTTGTTGGATGTGAGAATTTTTTTGCCAGTTTTAGTAGTTTTAGTATTTTTAAGCGACTTGGTGCTATGTAGGAAGTTTTTTAACAATTGTCAAATAGTTCAGTAGTATTTTTCCGTAAAGCAATATTATATGCTATACTACAGTAATTCCGCATCTGCTCTATGACAATATCTTACTAGGACTATGTTAATGCCATGTTAGTATCACACAAAATTCATTTCAACGTGGCGCCAGTGGGCAAAACGTGACGATTTCAAGGATGGCTCTTACCAGCTACGTGTTATGCCAGCTCCTTAAATGACAGTGTGGCACGCTGGCCAGTGCCATACAAACGCTCGATCAAAATTTCTACCAGGGTAAAGGAAAGAGAAAAAAATAAATAAATAAACAAACTACAAAATATGGAAATTAACACAATATTAATCTTTAAAAAAATAATATAAGAATTTTTTGCGTCATTTAAGATTTGGAAAAGTAATTGTTAATTCATGGTAAAAACGAATAAATAACTTTCAATAAAATAAGAAGTACTTTTCGAAAAATTCCTATAACTTAAGAAATCAAAAG